AGGAACAGTATTTGAACTCATCGTTAATACGGAAGTTGCAGTAGGATCTTCCATTTTACCAGTGAATGATGGTAACATTAAATTAGTTGTGGTAGGAAGTGTATCACTTGACATCCATGGTGTAGGTAAACGACTAATAACCGATTCTGGTGTTGTCAATTCAGCCACTGTCGTACCATCAGTAACCGATGAAGTCTCATTTTGACTCTGTGCAAAACACACGAAGAGCAAAAATGTAATACTTAATAAATAGTATTTATTAGACATCGATCATTTCATAAATATGAAATATTTCTGATCAAAATGTTTATATGGAAGCTGAGGGTCTTTTTACTTATATAAGAATGATACTTATCGTCGAATACATTGCAAATTTTTTTTCCCTATATATGATTAATTCGCGAAACAAATATGCAAGTTTTATTTTTCTGCTGATATGTATTTTTAACTTTGTGTACTGTGTTGTTTTTTTTACTTTTCTTTCTTTCTTTCTTTCTCTTTTAATATTATTATCATTTAATTCCGAGAAAAAGAAAAAATAGTATTCTTTTTTTTTGTTGATATAACATAAATTACTCATTGAACTTGAAACACTGATAAATTTAGCGGAAAAATTATCAAACGAATAAAAATTCATAGGAAAGCAAAATTTATCCAACTATCGATAATGAAAACAAATAAAATAATATATTTAGATGACAGATTAAAACAACATATTTATGAATGTAGCATTAAGTCTACGTCAAGTATAATTTTCCTCTTGTTTTTTTTTTACGTTGATACTGTCAATGTTATCTTATATTGACACAGGAAATGTCACTCATTCCAATAGTCTAATATTTTTATTTCTTTAACGATAAAAATATTTGCATGGTCAGATTAACAAAATTTCATCAAATGTAAGAAAAGTCATAAACAGACATGTGAATCATAAAACATCATTTTATTTAGTACTCATGAACACTTCAGTAGGCAAATATCAACTTCTACAAAAAAAAAAAAATAATTATAAAAATGGCAAAAACTGAATCTAGGATACGCAGTTAACTGTTATATGAATGGCATCGATTTAAATTAACTGATTCATAGCCAACGGTGAATTATAATAAAACATTATACAGTACGCTACAGAGATTATGTTCTTCTACTTCCAATATAAAGTACCGTTTATGGTATCCCTCTTAGAAAAAAAGGACAAATTTATCGATTTTGTGATTTATAGCTCATTAGATAGAGCAATATGTCTACTTTCATATGCAATATATTTTATAATGAGATTTAAGAATATTATATCGGTTTTTTCGAATCATCAACCTGAGAAAAAAAATATATTGTGTCGAAAAATTTTAATTTCTAGTCTTTCAAACTTCTTTGTTGACTTTTGGCGGTGATGGATATGGCTGTTATGCATCCCTAAGTAGATACAACACTCGAGCATGAAAAACTACACAATGGAATGAAGGTATGAGTGTAGGATGTGCATGTGATGTTGATGGATTTACTTGAAAAGAAGAGGCACAATCATTTTGGACTTCGATTCAGTCAAAATCAAACAAATTTTAATAATATTTTGGTACGAGAGAAAAAAAGACATTTGTCGTTTTTCTTGGTTGCATAAAGTATTGTGATGAATAAAAAAAAAAAAAAATCGAGAGTTTCCATTCGAAGTTTTAAATGCGTGTAAAAATTGGCAATTTTTGAAGAAAATTGTGTGAAGAAGAATCTATGCATAAATCTTTAAATAGCGTAACTGTTAAAAACGAAGTCAATCTCAAGTAAAAGTCTGTTTTTCATGGGTGTGGATGAGAGTGAAGATAAGACTAGCACCGACACCTACCCTTTGGAAATTGAAGTCAACGAAGAATATCGAGAGAGAAGCTTTTAGAAAAATCCTGTAAATTCTGCTCCGAAAAGTGATGTAAAACTATCCATGTCATCAAAATCATGGAACAATTGGCTATTTCTAAGGTTGATTATAATCGTGATTATTTAAATATACGGTGGTCGATAAATAACACTAAGATAGTTAAATATTCCCGTATCTGTTTAATAAAATAGGCTGATCTTTTTGTTGGTGTTAGAAATTCATTCAAACTTTTCTCATAGCAATAAAGTAAAAAAAACAAATATTACTGTTAAGTATTATTTTTCCTATCATGAAAGATATTTGATCTATTATCAAGTAAAAAAAACGAATGTGTAGTGTTTCACAGATAATTTTCAGTTGTCAAATACGAGAATAGCAAGAACGAGTCGAAGTGAACTTTACGAATGGATTCTGTATTGGTACACATAGAGTAAATTTTTAAAACTATGCTAGTTTAAAAGTCGACTAATAGAAAATTTCGAATTTTCAAACATGAAAACACTGCTTTTTTGCAAGAAACTTCATGTTTTCGTACTCAAAAGGCTGCATTTGTGTATTTTCCCTAGACTGAAAGACTAGGGTCTAGAAACCGCAATTCACTTGTGTCTGTCTGTCTGTCTGTTTGTAACAAGTGCTTGGCACAATTAACTATTCTTATGGCACTAATGACCATTTCATGGCACAAATGACCATAAAAATACAACTATCTGCTTATCATCGTTCCGTCAGTCTAGCGCCCAGTGAATTGACCTTCGATGTCGATGAACGTTACTTGTTATTTATGAAGCACAAATTTCAGGATTTAAACTAATATATAGTTGATGGATACTTCCATTGGTAGTCAACCACAAAAAACACAAGGTTCTCAGAAGATTTTTTTGTCTGTAGGACTCGTTGTACTGATCATTTTGGTTAAAAAAGTATTCAATTTTACTCAATAAATCATGGTGCTGGGATCAAAATCCTCGAAAATGTCAACTACCACTAGGTAGCAATTAGGAATAGCCGAAATTATTGAGTATTTCGGCTTTAGCGCCATGGTTTATTAAATAAATTTGAATAGTTCTTTTCATCGACATGATCAATGCAATGAGTTCTAAAGATGAAAAAAATCTTCTGAGAACCTTACGTTCTTTTTTGCGGTTGATTACACATGAAAGTGCCCATCAAATATACGATTCGCAAGCATTTTGTCGTTGGTAGTTTCACGATAAAAAAATTACCTCATTAGATTGAAACTCTAATGGAGATATTTAATTTTCTGTTCATCACATGACTTTTGGTACATTCTATATGATGATCACTACGAATATTCAAACTAATTAACGTTTGTTTCAATAGCCGCTTTGAGAATCTGACGTATTGGATTAGTGTGGATGCGCGTCTTGTCTTCATTTATATCCATACCAACGCCCATCGCCAAACTCAATTCACACCCACACACACATATAGGATGTGGGTGGAGTGTGGATATGCGTATGTGCATGATGAAAGAAACATCTACACTCACATCTGATGATTTTGGCGTATTCCAGTTTTTATAGACTTTTGTAATCTTTTTTAATCTTGTTTTCTTAATTATTGCCACAAAAAAATATCGTTCAAATATGTCAATAACAGCATCTTTAGAAGTAACTCGACGAGCTCCATCCAATCATGACAAAAAAAAGTGTCTAGAAAAATTTTGCTCAAATATCATATTGTCAACACCTTACAACATAGACGAAAATAAATCGAACTGAGAAGAAAATATTGTTGATAAAATTATTGTTTACATATGATTGATCAATATAGCAAGTACCAATGACTGGATTTAAACTATTCAATGGACAAAACTAAAATGAATCAACAATAGAACATATCATTAAATATATCGATAATCATTTTGTTGCAGTTCGATTTGTATAAACCATTTTTAAACATATCAATAATTCAGATCAAATAAAACGATCAACTGCAACAGTAATAAATAAATAAATGCTCACTACTCTATTGATATGTTGTACCAAATAATTCAATTGAAATACAAGAAATTCATTTGAATAAACATAAATTAGAAAGGTGTCTAAAATCTTTGTTATTAATATCTGTAAATAAAATCTATTTAATATTATTGTAAAAAGTAAACCGGAATCAGTTAAGATTCTACAAAATCAATAGCATGAACAAAAAATTGTTCATATAACTAGATTATCAATAAACCTAACAATATAATTATAATATAAATTAACCCTTTGACTACCGACGACATTTATATACGTCCTGGCATTTGTTCACTATTGGTATATACCTCACGTATTGGCTATTCCCTGTAGGATTGTTCCTCTTAGCTTATTATCATTTTGAGATTTTCCAGAATAGGAAAATTCCTTTTCCTTATCACCTTATATAGTGTTACGACCTATAAGTTCATAAATGTCAATGGTTATCCCAGCTACTTTACTTTTGAATACTATTATTCATCTCGACTTGATACAGGAAAATACAATAACAACATATAAAATTAATGTTAAATTTGAATGAAAAGTTAATAAATTATTGTAACGTTTTTACATCGAAAAATGAGTCATAGTTTTGACTATATCTAATTGTCAATTATGAGTTTTTGCATACTTAACAAATTAATTGAAAATCAAATCGAACATGAATTATACTTAAATCGAGTAGAAAAAAAAGTTATAGAAAGATAACCTTTGTAGAATTGTGTTTTTTATAACAAAAAACTTCATATTATTTAAATTGATTCAAATAAACATCGCAGTAAAATTTGTGTTTTTTTTTTCTTTCAAAGAAAAGTCTTTTGCAATTATTTTATACTTTAGAAAGATAAATAATATTTGGAAAATTGCGCATTTAAAAACAAAAAAAATTTTTATCAATCCAATATTCATTTAATATCGTATTTTAAAAATAGAAATATTGAAAATGTATTCTGATTATAAATTATTATCTTCTTTATTATCAAATAAACATACGTATATAGATAAGGTAGTCAATCTATCATGTGTATGCCATACAATGAATTGTTGTGGTTGTTGCAAAGTAAATTTTATTAATATTATAAGAATAGGAAAAATCTATGTAAATAGACAAATAAACGAAATCGATATACATCTGACAATATTCAAGAACAATTTGACAGATTAACTTATTTATCTAGTGTATGAATATCAAGTTTTGTTTTTCTAATTATTTTCTGTATATTCAAAATTATTTAGTTAAACAAGAATCAAATACCACATGCCAAAATTTGTTTGGATAAACATCAATTTACTTGTCCTTCACCAGCATTACGTTATACTAAAGTACTACGTCGAAAACTATGTTCAGTACCAGAACCTATGTTGTTTGGTTTACCTATTCAATATGATGTAAGTAGAATAGCTTAAATTTTCATATGTACTCTTGATTTTTAAAGAATCATTCAATCGATCGAAAGAATTTTTCAATTGAAAAACTCTGCGAATGGCCATTTACTGGTATATCAGAATATTTGGTATGTAATAGAACATTTATATTCATCAATTTCTTTTTATTGCTTTGTAGAGAAGTTATCGTTCATATACTGTAGATGAAATACAATCACATCGAAGTAAAAAATCATTTAAAGAGCATCAATTTTTAATAAAAGATCTTGAACCAATGACTCTATTTACAACTTATAGTGTACATTGTTGTTATCTTTTTGTTATATAATTCACATTTATTATTTTTAGAAAGCCTATCAAGATCCAAGATTTTTCTTATGAAAATTCAAATTTATTGTAGTCTTACTAAACATAGATTTCTATTTTGAAAATCAATTTCTGTCATCTAAACAATAAAACAAAAAATACTTATTAACATAAGTTCTACGGTAATTTGAACTTTGATCCAAAGTAAAAATGTCGTAGAATGAGCTGTAGATCTGTGTGAAGAGAAGAGCAACATTCACACTTATATTGTTTTAGTGTATTAAGGTAGAAAACAATAAACGGTCAACAACATTACAAAACCGATATAATGAGGGGTAAATTGAACTTTTTCTATTCACTAGCAATGAAAAGATTATTTATCAAAACAATATTAATATAGATACATAAAGAATTTTTTATTATTATTCACTAATGAATGATGGTATGATAGACACAAACTGAGATTTTATTTTTAAAAGAATAACAACGAATAAAATAATATTAATAATGATGATACGCATATATGATAACTTGTCCATTTAAATATGTTTTTTTTTTTTCGTGTTGAAAATCTATTTTATTTGAGTAATGACCATTTGATTTGCTCTTTTGCATGACTAAGTACCTATTAAAATAAGAAACAAAAACAAAAATTACATAATATTCAATAATAAAATTTAATAACGTGCAATCACTGCAAGGAGAAAAAAAATCATCATGCTCATGTCTTTCGATTTTTTCTTCTTAAGTTTTATTAATCAATCAATTATTCATACATGAAAAAAAATATAGACAAAATAATTGATGTGTAAATAGTTATAGAAGCGAGAAATAGAGCAAAGTAATCAGCTCATACACACGCATAGAATTCGTATGTATTTCTATCGATCACCATTGAAGAACAAATTGAGTCCCTGATAGAAAACCTGATTGACAAAATACGATTATATCTCATATTTATTTTTGATGAATTATTTAATTTGATTTTTTTTTTTGTTTTTTGTTTTTTTAAATTTTCTAATTACTTACTTGAGAAACAGTTTGTTCACCTAATGGAATATCATCTTGACGTAATTGAACACGTTGTGTTATTAATATTGGATCAGTTTCAAGAATAATTCTAAAAATAGAATATGAATTTTTTTTATTCTTGAAAAAAAAAAGAAATTCATCTTTATATTTTACCCATCATCACAAATTTCATCAAGTGTAAGCATAACTAAATCAAGATTATCATAAAGATGTCGTTTTTCAACATTTTTTCGTAACATTGTACTTAATGATTCAAATAAACATGTTAAAACAGAATTTAACATTAACTTTTAAAACAAAAAAAAAAACAATTTATTTTTTGAATAAAAAATGAATATAATTCTTTTCATACTTCATTTTCATTTGTACTACCCATAACATAGAAAAGTAAATCAACATTATTTCGATAAACAATTGTCCAATTATCAAGAAGAATAACATCTCCTGAACCTTTATGTGTTTTATTAAATAATGATTTTTCAAAATCTTTTTGTTCTTTTACAGTTGTATATGAATTATTATAATACTAAACAAAAAAAAAAAGACAAAAATACAATTCATTTATTAAAATTTAATTGTATGAATTTTACTTTAGCTAATATTCGATTACCATCATTATCTAATATAATAATACCTTTGATCACATATAATGATGGTACCTATAATAATATACAAGTAAAAATTCGAAAGTAAAATAAGATTTAAAAAAAAACAAAAAACTTACAGCGATATTGTCGAACACCATGTTATTAATTTTAGATTTGAGAATAAAATTCGAAGATCTAAAGTAATGAAATCAAATACGTGTCAGTCAATATATTGAGAATGACGCGACTTTGCGATAATGATTGCCTACTTGATTCGACCGTACGTAACCAAGTGTTTATAATCAATTCGTCAACGGGCGACAACTATAGGATGTTCGAAAAGTTCTTTTTTTAATGTTATGATAATGTATTCTTTGAAATTTTATTTCATATAATTTGGTTGAACAACAAAGTTTAATAATGATTTCTATTGATTAAAATACATCAATGCATCATTTTCAAAATATCAAAAAACAAAAAAACGATATACTTTTGTTTCTATTCTTATTGATTTATGTTAAAATATTATCAGATATTGGTATAAGTTTAGATGTTTTAATTTGATTTCATGAAATTATTCATCAAATTACATGTGATATTGCTTCATTAAAATATATCGAATCATAATTTGATACATAATCATTCGTGAAAATCAACAAACTATATAGTACAATAAATTAAAAACTTTATTGTTATTCGTTTAGACATTATAAGTATTGTTACTAGAGTCCATATCTAGTCCGTTCATTGTCCAATTTGACTATAACGATTCTTATTTGATTATTGAAGATAATCTGAATTTGATCACTAATAAAAATAAGCTTATTTGAATATTTATCGACAGAGATATTTGTAGGAAAATATGTTGAATAAAACTTCAAAGAACGAATCAATGTCGTACCTTTACTCGTACTGTGAGTATATAGCTCATATAATGCTAAACAGTTTGCTGATAACTTTTGTCTAGTTCAAATCACATGGGTAATATCATATGATGACAAAAACAATTAAATTGTTTGAGTCATATAAGATGCATTCAGATTTAATTTTCCGATGAACTTGTTTTTGACACTTCATATTAATAATTTATAAAAAGAAATACTTGCAGTGAAAATGAATAAAGTCGCTTTTATATTTTCGTAATGTATACGAATAGAGAGAAATCAGAGTTGGAATCATTACTGATAGAAATGGTACTAAATAATTATTCAATTTTGTTTTGCATAATATAACTTGATATGAAAGTGAGTCCACACAATATGATAAGTATATTACGATGGATTTCGACCAAATAGAATGTTCCCTCACAAAAATGGTCGTCTACATCAGTAAGAACTGTTTGATTTGGGAAAAAAAGCAAAAATTCAATAATAATCCATAACAGTTGATAAGAAATCCTCAACTGTGCCGACCGTTTACAACTCTGAAAGAAATATTTCATTTAGTATTTTAAGCAGTAAGTACAGTGCCCAAAAGCAAAACGTACAGAATATTTACGGCTTCTGAAGTGCAAACTGTTCAGATAAAAATAAGATAGTGTATCTGATACAGTTCAGCTCCGCTCCAACGAAAATAAAAGATCATTGTTTTATTGGAAAACTCTGCTTTGTTTTGGTCCCTTCACACACTAGCTTTTGTACTAATTAATAACGTTCAGATTCTGTTTTAAATGATAAAAATAGATGAAAAAAACCTACAATTCGCGGTATCCGTCTGGTATTTTCTCGCTCCACGAAGCTGCCCATCTCTGATATTAATGTTATACTTATAAAATTTTTCATTAGTTAGGATGTTAATTCAAAAGACTAGATGATAGATTACATTATCCATTTTGTGTATTTTCATGAGTGTGTGTATTAAACCGAAATATAAAACATGACAAAATTTCTAATATTAAATAAGAAAATGTTAATGTGTTGATGTTTTAATATTTTGATTGTAAGAAAAAATTTTTGTTAGTTTCTGTTAGACGCCATAATTGTTCATGAAGTGGTAATTTATTTATTATTTCTTCATGTTGTTTTGAATCGAATGGTAAAAGTTTTTTGATTATTTCAACAACATCTTTTGCACAACCCCATGAAAGAGTAATACCTGAATTTGAATGTCCATAACAATGAACAATATTAATACCATCAATTGTTTTTTCATATTCAAGACGTACACCATTATCTCGATAAGGTCTTAAACCTACTTGAACTTTACCATAATGAATTTGTTTTAATGCTGGTAAACATTTTGAACACATGCGAAGAATTTTTTTTGTATCACTTTCAATTGTTGATGTATTCCAATTATTGATTTGAAATGTTCCACCTAAGACAATTGAATTTGATTGTGGAATAATATATGCTTCACCTTCATTTGTATCAAAATTATAAACTGATTTTATCCATGGTGCATGAATACGAATAATCTAAATAGAAGAAGAAGAAAAAAAAAACAATAATTATAAATCTTTAAGAAATAAGTTATTTAAGATTACTTGTCCACGTGCTGATCGAACTGTTTGATCATTAGTTAATTGTCTTGAACCTAGACCAGTACAATTAATAATTACATCTGTTTTATTCATTAATTCATTGAATGAATGAATTTTTTTTTTAATAAATTTCACTCGAGAATCTTGTACAAGAAAACGTCGTAATTCTCGTAAATAATATCGAACTTCAATAGCTATTGTTGATATAACATAACCTGATGTTGGTTTTAAATGATCAAACATTTCTATTTCATATTCATCTAACATACGAAAATGTCGAACTAATGTTGAAAATTGTGGTTTTAAAATATTTTTATCTTTATTTTGACCATTAAAACCTTGTAAAGTATATGCAGACATTTTCATAAAACCAGCTTGAGCTGCTTTTATAGAAAAAAATTCACTAAGAAAAATATTATATGTATAACTAGCCCAACGAAGTATTCGTTCATCCATGAATTCAAATTCATATGGTTCCCAATAACCAGCTGAAATATCACTTGTAGTGTTAGGTGAAAATTTTTCACTAATAATTATTAATTGAAAATTATCATTTAATGAATATTCTTTTAGTAAAGTACATGCAGTTGTTAAACCTATGATACCTGCACCAATAATTGTTATATGATACTTATTTGATGACGACATGATATTCAAAATCAAAGATAATAATGATAAGGTTTTTGATTACGAAATGACGTACTTATTGTGATGAAAAAAACTAGCAAAAAAACAACGGAAGGTATATATATGTGCTTCGCCATCTATTTAATAACACGAATAACTTTCTTTATTTTATTGTGTATTGACAAGTATTTGGTTTCATCGAATGTTAACCCCAATATTATGGATATGTCATATGCTTCTCCTCTCCCACAGTTTGCATTCATTTAATCGTAAACTATTTGATTATTTTCTCCTCCAAAAACTGAGATAATTTCTAAATTAAGAAATACAGACCGGGAAATAGTAAGAACTTGAAAGCAGAAAACTGCGAAAATCATTGGTCTGAGTTAGAATTAAAAAAAATATTAACATTTCATTTTTGATTGAAATTTAAAGAACCATACAGTTTATCAACACTAAAATCATAAAGATTACGAATTTATAGTAATTTGTGCGCCATAATCCATATTTTCTATTCGTTTTGGTCACATTTGTAGATTGAAAACTGTGCTTAGCCTCAAGATATTCGCTGTTCTATTCTCTACAAAATCGCGTAGTAGCTTTAGATCTAACCTGAAAATTGGCCGCGGGAATAGAACAATACTCAAGTTCTGCAATATTTACCCATTTATAGCATACAACAACTTGTATTTGGAGTTTTGTTCACTACAACTGTAACTTTTCAAATGATATTTATTTGTCGTCTAGCAGTCGATCGGTGCGCTGCGTCTGTAAGTCTTGCCACTCAATATAAAGATGCTTGTTTCTATGTTATAATTTTCTTTGGAAATGTTCATCACTTCACATAACGTCAAAGAGCTGTACCTATTTCGCCATAATAAAGTTTTTATACTTTGTCTCTCCCACCTAAAACAAAATAGCAAAGTGTCGAGAATTGTTTGGAAAACGTTCTCTAGAAATCGGCACATATAGAAGAAACTCAATGTTCTTGTATGATTTTATAGAGAATTGAATAGCAAATCGTTTGAGACTATGCGTAGTTTTCTATCTTCGAACATGGCTGAGATAAAAAGACAATACGAATGGTTCCATTATTTATAGTGCACCTTTTACTATTCTTTTCAATCGAAATTCAGTTTATAAATAAAAATAATCAACAATCAAAAGTGAACATTCATACTTATATTTAATTAATCAATTTTCGGGACTATTTATTTATGTTAAAGAATACATAAATTAAAAACATAACACTACACAAATTGTCAAATGTGTTTTTTTATTCCTTTTTCTTATTATCATTCAATGTTGCTGCAGCCATTTGTTCAGCTAAATGATTTGCATTTTCTTCTGTTTCATTAGGAATAGTTGATAAATTTTCTTTAACATTTTTTACTGATACTCCTTCAGATTCAAGTAATTTATTAAAATCATCCTAGAATATTTTTGTTTTATTAATATTATCTTTAATTTAAAAATAAATTTTACCTCCCAACCAAGTAATTTTGCAAGTTCAGTAACACCATCATCACATGTACTTTTATGAAATACATCACGACGATTTTTATTTGTATCATATAATAATGAAGATGATCCCTAAAGGTAAAAAACAATGCATATATATATAAATATAGTATAAAAATTAAAATTTACAAGATCCCAAATAGATGTTGCTTTTCCAGCTGGTTCCATATTAATAAGAAGACGAGGACAATTTTTATCGACACTGAAAATAGATAATTTATAAATAATATATATATATAATTTAATATTCATACAAGGATACAAGACGATTGAAAGGTGCAACTTGTAATGATGTTCCAATAATAATCAAAAAATCAGCTTTTGAAAAATCCTAATAAGAAAAAAGATTTTTTTATGAATTGAAAAAAAAACCAAGAACAATATTTTTTACTTATAACTTACACTTTGTACACATTGTTGAAATCGATCAGGAAGGCTTTCACCAAAAAAAATAATATCTTAATCGAAATAATTTTATATAAACTTATTTAATATTATAATAAAATACCTGGTTTAACAATACCATCACAATCTGTACAATGTGGAATTTCATCTTTGAATATAACTTCTAAATAAAATAATATTAAATTTCAAAAAATAAATTATCTCGATTGATTTTCATAAATTGTAGAAGCTGTGATGATGTTCAAAAAAAAACAAAACGTTTCGAATTTCATTGTTATACTGAAGTAGAACTATTATTGCAAGCCCATGAAATTCATTGAATCTCAAAGACAACTAAACTTCCATGAAAATTCTTAGTAGAACACACGAAACTACTGGAATCGGAACTCAATAGAAAAACAAACTGATCTTGAATATTCTCATCTCTGTATATAAAATAAAGTTTATCTTAATCATATTTTATAGATAAAACTTAAAATAAAAGAATTCATTATCATTAATTATGATTAAATATTAACCTTTAACAAATTCCAAATCATATTCTTTTCGACAATTTAAACAATGTGATGTAAAAAATGTTCCATGTGCTTCAACAATTTTTTCTGATGGTATACCAGCAATACGTTCTAATGAATCAATATTCTATAGATATAAATATTACAAAATTTAATAACGATAAAAATATTCAATATACTTGAGTAAATATTCTTAATAATTTATTTTTTTCATTTAATAATCGAATAAAAAAATGAGTTGGTGTTGGCTAAATTATTAAAATTAAAATTAAAAATTAATATTTCAATTCAAATATACATACAGTAAATTTTTGTGGATAAAGTTCTTTAGCAAGTAAAAAGAATGGTTTTGGATTATTCTATAAATGAATATAAAACACAAAATATTTTCTTTCTAAATACATATATGTACAAAGTGTTCCTAAAAGTCACTATACACAAACAAAAATAACATTTGAATATCTTCCTTATGATTCTATTGGATGAACTGATGATAGACAACACTTTCAAGTTTTTTATTATTGTGAGCGTCCTTCTCTTCACTTATAAACATTCATTTGACATTTCTGAAAAAATTAGATGCATTGATGTCAAATCTAGTCGCTTTGAAAACTCTAAAATTGCATTAGTGTACTTTTCGTTAAAATTTTTAATGAGGAAGTGAAAAACAAATCGTTTTAAAGAAATGTATAAATCACTTTAGTTTTGTTCAGATGTGTCAAATGAATGTTTATAAACGACAAGAAATAGCTCTCACAATGATAAAAAGCCCTACATACTGTTTTTCGAAACTCGAAAAAGAAGTTTATTGTGTATTGATTTCAAATGTGCCGTTTTGTAGGAATATTTAAGATCGTTGAATTGTTTTCCATTACCAATATAAAAACTCACTCATTCGATAGAATCAGAGAGATATTTAAATGTTGTTTTTTTTTTTGGATAACGACTTTTATGGACATCCTGTATATTTTTACAAACTCGAAAAAATTCCAAATGAAAAATAGCTTCTGGAGATGGTAAATCATATTTTGATAATTGTGAATAAAGTCCAGTTCCTGGCGAACGAAAATCTGGTATTCCAGCACTTGTCGATATTCCAGCACCAGCCATTACAATAATATTTGAACATTTACTCATATATTCAGCTGCATTTTTTAAATCAAATGATTTCAAAACAGGTTCTTCAACTGGTTCATCTGAAGTTGAAGAACTCATTAAACCCGAAAATCTATTCATTACTAAATAATATAAGAATTAACATATAAAAAAATCTATATTTTTTTAAAATTTTTATGCACATACAATCTTGTAATTTTGAAAATACACTTTCATCATTATCGTTATCATCATCATCATTTGTTTGTTTATCTTTATTATCATTTGTTCGTTCATCTTTATCATCCGTTGGTTTTTTTGATTCTAGATTATGTATTTTTGTTTTTAAATATTTAAATTATTGGAAATAATTAACTTACCAGCCATGAAAAATTCGGGTTTTTTCAGAAAATAAAAAAATAAAACAAATCTAGAAAATAATCTACTATGGTTAGAAAAAGAAAAACTTTACTAATTTTTTCTTTTTTAAAGACTATGCAATATTTAAATAGACTATGAGTTAAAAAATAACTTTCATTTCATATAATTATAATTAGCAAGTGATCGTGTTAAAAAAGTTGTTGTAGTACCAAGTTTGAATCGTTTATTAACTAATGTTTGAACAAGTTGAACTAAAATATAATTATAATTTTTATCAAATTAAATTCTATCGGCAAAAAGAAAAAACATAGTTATGAATGTAGAAAATATACGTCTTATCTTCGATTTAATTTTGATTCTTTATAAGAGTTATTGTTTTCAACAAGTTCTTTTACCATGAATATATGTGAAGATATTGACTCTTTCAGCTCACGCCTAATTATACATATAAGGAAAGTCCTCTAACTGTCCAAATTACTTTTGAGTCTAGAGTATATGCATTATGTAGACCCGATGAGCTATGAATACCTTGAAAAGACGTCGTGTCCTTAGCTTATTGTTACCGAGATACTTCACTTTCACGGTATTTTTTAAATAAATGCTATGGTCCCCTCAGAAATACAGGAAAAACTGATTTTCGAATTTCGACTTGAAACTTTGCATAGAGATAAATCTTAACGAAAGTAGTTTATTGTGAATGTTTCAGGTCTTGTCACTGTTCCTATCCTAAAATACATCTATCGCTAAAGCGTGTTCTTTACATCATTTATGTAAACCAGTAGATTTGATATTCTTATTTCTGGATAGAAGCAAATCAAAAGATCTAAAAGTACTCTCGTTAAGACCTGCCTCTATGCAAAGTTTCAAGCCCAAATTCGAAAGTTAGTTTTTCTGATGTTCCCGAGAAAGACCACAGCATTTATTTTAAAAAAATATCGTGAAGTGAAGTATCTCCGTAGCAATAAGCTAAGGGCACGAACTGTTTTCAGAGTATTCATAGCTTATTGGAATTTGCATGCTGCACATAGTCTAGACTCAATAGTGATTAGAGTTGTACGACTTCTCTTGTTAGTTAGCTAATTAATTAATACATAATTATCGAATAATGCTCTAATCTTATGATGAAAGGATAGACGCTAAGATAAACCAGAGTGAAACTTTTTGTTTTCCTATCATTTCGAGATCTTTAAGAAAGATTTTTACAATTTGGACTTTTCATTGAGTTATAAGAAGATTTTTCCTTTCTATATTCTTACCCACTGACGTCAGTAACAATGAACAAATTCAATTTATTAAAAAACATCAGCATGTTCAGGAAAAAATTTTCGTAGAGGCTCTGTAGCCTAGAGAGTCTCCCACAAAACACACTATGTACTTTTGCGAAAATATTGTTGAAACTTGAAGAATTTGTAAATGGAAATGTAGACTATAAAAAACTTTGCCTATTTTTATGTCATGCCACTAACACTGATTTTTCAAGTTATCTAGAGTAACTCGACATGCATTTGTAACATAAAACCTAACTATAAGAAATGTCAGAGTTTTCAAAATCAAATCACTAACGAATGAAATTGTCTATGTATATATATATATATTGCTTCTTTGATTTATAATATACTAGATTTTTGATCGAGGATACTTAAAGAAAGTCTATTTCACTCGGATCAAGTCACCAAAACAAGTGAGTAATATTTGTTCGAGCTATATGTTATTTAGAATTTTCATTAACACGGATAGTATGTGTTGAAAAATTTTTATTCAAATTATAAGAGTAACAAAAAACTGTAATTCAATTGAGGTATTCTCTGTTAAATAATTTGTGAAATTATACTTCAATAAAATGAGTGTATTCACTAAGACTGACTTCATACTGTTTTTGTCTATCATATAACGAATTTCTGAAATCTAACAATTTGTTTTATTAGTTCTAGTTCTATGAACTAAGACTTGATTTTCAATCTATGATAAGCATTCTTGGATTAATATATAACTAATAGTAAATTAAAGAGAAGCTCTTCTAGAATTAATTATCTCTAATAATCAAAATCAACTTATATGACATAAATTTCAAAATTGAAAGAACAAGAATTTCATACTATTATGTTTTGATTCGTGTACATCTTCATGAGGAATTAAATCAGTTGATTGTTCGATTTCATTATTGAGACTTAAAACCTGTGTTTTTTCATGTTCATTTAGTTCTTGTTCTTCAATTTCTTGCATTCGTTTTAATATTGAATCATTTTTATTTTTTATTTTTGTCATTGGATTTAGAATTTTATTGGTTATATTTGATATTTTTTTTGTTATTAAATCTGTTTGTCTTTTAAATAATGATCTTGATAAAGTAAGTCGTTTAAGACGATCAGTACCAATAGTAATCTTCTTTTTTAATGATATCGTACCTATTTAAACAAATAGATATGATCACCAAAACAAAAAAAACCAAATTAAAAATTACTGGAGAGTGATTTTATTGGTCGCATTCCATGACTTGATAAAATTTTTTTCTGATGTGATTCAATTAATATTTGAATTTTTTCATTATTATCATTTATTATAATTCTTTCTGGTATCTTAAAAATAGAAGAATATGAAATTAGAAAAATCAAGAGAAAAAGCACAGACTCATAAGAGTCATTTTTGAGTCGTCCTCAGTTTCCTTCCATTTATCATTTATTTGATATAGAATCTCACATGAAATTGTTTCAGAGCAAAATATTGACATATACTTTTGTATCAGAAATCGATAATTCACAGATAAGTTAATGAGACATGCAGATTTTCTCATAGCAAGAACCTCAAAACGAAATTTATATCAATCAACAATCGATCCTATAGTCTATCTTTGATGACAAGTTTCGTTTAGATACATTTTTTTTTGCGTTTCAGACTGATATTTAACGGGTTTCAATTAGGAAAAGTACAGATTGAGTTAAAACCGATAACATATTTAGAATCACGATAAAAGACTGAGTCCACTAAGATGTGCATTGAAGTTTTGCATTTTGACTGAGACATGAAAGAAACTTCAACAAAATCTTTTGAGAAAAAAGTTCGATACAAAACTTCGAAATACATACAAGTGGACTTAAATTTTTATAGTGATTCCAAATTTGTTACTATGAATCATCGATTTATGATACAAAAGTGTATGTTAATATTCTGACTAGAAATGGGTATGAATTACACGAATCCCGGAAACTATCGTTTTTCCGAAATATTTTTCGGGACGAGACAATATAGAAAAAAAGCCAAAGTCCAGAATTATTTTCATCTGTATACCAAAACGTCATACACTTGAATCTTTTTATTTCTAATCAATATCTTAATATTCAAATAAATAACAGAAAAAAAAGCACATAAACAACTAGACTGCCTCTTGGGCAAAACGGCTGACTGCATGAGCCCAAAAAATGTTAGAACGCGATCCTATACGACATCTGCTATTTCTAATCCGCTGTTAATTATTGTTTTCTATAGGTTTATATCTTCCGGATACAGTCGAATTTCAGATGTGTACTCGTCTTATTGTTACGATCTTAGCAAGCTTTTTTCGACTGAAAATGTTGTTCAGGTGCTGAGAACGAGTGACTGACTTGAATCGTGACTCATGCATCGAGTAGGACAAGAAGAATTTGCGATGGTAATTAAGCGAGTGAAAAGTACTAAGTTGGCTACTGCACAAAGTGAAGTCAACCGTCTTTCAGTCAACGAGGTTCGGAACACGAAAAAGTTGATCACGTAGGACTGTAGTATGGATGCTTCAGAAATGGCTTTATATTGTAACTAAACAATTCCTTGTGAAATTCTGCATCATACAAGCGATAAATAGAGAAAAACTGAAGGAAGTCCAAAAATGGCTCTTATGCACTCCTTTCTTTTCATATAAACCTCAATTATATGTTCAACATGACATTTTTCATCATCATTTGTTAATTCATTATAAGAATAATCTAAATAAAATTGAAAATTAATTAATAAATATATATATAGAATATTTTACTAACGATTATGAAATGATATTCGAGAAAGTAATGTTGATGGTAAATTACATTTCGATTTTCGATGTATAAGAGTCGATTGATTATTATCATGGCAATTTCCAAGAACATGATTCGAAACTAAAGTTTTCAATAAATATTTCTTTTTCTATTGATACATTTTAATTTACCATTAAATTCTCGAATAAATACAGAATTTTTCTAGACAAAATAATAATACAAAAAAAAACAAACATTCGAATTCATATTTAGAATATTTACTTTCTCATTAAAAAGACGAGCTTGTTTTATTAAACAGACACGATCAAATTGATTAGTAATACCAAGATTAATTAATTCATTCTCATCAACAGTTAACAATTCTTCAATTGTTGAAAATCGATCAGCTAATATCGCGCCATACTGCAAAACAGTATTATTATCAATCGATAAATTCGAATCATGAAGAAATTGTATCCAAAATGATGTATCTATATAAAATCATAGTAAGAGAAATTTCATTCCAAAAAACAAAAATAAATTGTTGATACTGTTTACCTGACATTATTTGGTTAGTCATTATTGCATGGAACTTGAGAAATAAAGTGTAATAAATAAAAACTTTGCACAGAAAGTCAAATAAATAGACAGACCGATGACGTCTGTATCTTCAATAGTTCAATTCTAACCAATTGAAAACAACTCAAAACAGAGGACTCTGTACGATAATATCATACAGTAATATCTCAAATTTCAGCGTCATAGTAAATATATTCATCTAGCAGACACGACTTGTAAGCATGAGCACTAAAATTACACGTGCGAGTATTCGAACTATTTTATGTCTATGTATAATTCTGGATAGAAATTTGTGTTGTGAATCGATTGCAATTTCATACTATGAAGATATATACACGCATTATAGTATAAACGAATAATTTTATTAATTAAGAAATATCTAGTTATTTATTTATTATGAAATTTCTCAATTTTCTTAAATAAATTTATTATTCATTTCTTTTCATTGATGTTATACTGTTGTGAATATGTTTTTTGTTTATTATTATATTTTATTTTCTAAAAATAGAAAGTTTATCTCTATCTATTACCCAAAACTATAAAGGTAATTTAATACCTTTGATTCTCAAACTGATTGTATCTCTTGAATTTTTACTGTATGCAATTGTTGTCTTTTATTGCTAGTTTTATACTTAAGAAAGATTTCACCAAGCCATAGACAAACTCGTATGAAATTATACTTTAGATTTTCATTTTTGATATTGGTTTGAAAAGTCATGATTCGCATGTAGCTCTTCTCTTAACCGACACCCCACGCCTTAAAACCGTTAACAAAAGTTATGGATTAATTTAAAAGATTTCTATTAAAGTCTGACTAAAAGTGGACTCTCAATAGAAGACCAGGGGTATAAGGCAATCATCTTTCATTCTAGAAGGCTTATTATTATCGATAGATATAAGGCGTCATTACAAGTAGTTTTCGAAGATTTCAAGAGCGTGAGTATCTTTTCTATAATTTTATATAAGGATAAATCTTACTAACAGAAAAGACAACCTTTTTTTGAAACAGGACAGTTTGAACGTTTAGTAATTTCCATCAAACTGCTTTTCTAAGATCGTATTTCAGTAATGTGTTCAAATCATTTTATTATACGAGAATGTCAAGAAAACTGAAGTTGAAATTCTTATTCATAAGAATGTGTCTAGCGATTTTTGTGCTCTATCTAACTGTATATGTTATATATTAGCACTTTTTCTGCTCACAAGGGATCATAAAGTGCTCAAATCTTTATCATTTACTTAATTTTATTGAATATTTTGAAAGAAAATAACTTTTTCAATCATTAATTCATTCTTGATAAGGTCGAAAGTCACTGAAATGTGGATGACTCATTACATTTTTTTTTCTACCTTTATTTAACTCTCCTTCTCTAATGAGAGAAACATCGTTTACTAATAAATGATATCACTTTAATGTCGAACTTTTCATAATGAAAGGTGAATAGAAATAAGCAAGCACGTAAATCTCAAGATCGAAGAAGTTGATGTTCTTCATCAGTCCTGTCTAAATCAATCTAATCAAAACGATAGAGTGATTCTTGCACTCAAGCTTCTTTGAACAATAATTTACTCTTGTTACAACTCGCACTAATATAGCAGCACTAGAATAAAACTCTCTTGACTTGTATAATGATTACTAAGGCGATACATTCGAGTAGTTCATCATGCATCGCAAGTTATCTGGGTATTGGTGCTGTATTGAGTTTAATTCGAGTATCGTTTCAATATGTTGCTATTCAATTCATTTTTTGAGAAAAATGTACGGTAGTCAATATATGAAGTGTTGATTTCTTGACTTATTCATTCGTTACACCTTGTCATTTTTATGCGTTCTGCCAAGACAAAACACGAAAAAAATAAATAAATATGATTACACAAAAATAAGGTTGCAATGAAAAGCATATGCGATGCACTCACAAGGTAATATATATATAAATTGATGTTATTATGTTTTTTTCTCTTGTCTTTATTCGAATCATTCTGATCGATACGACTTGCGAAGGAGTAAGTAAATGATTGCATTACATCGCCTATGTTTTGAATGCATATCATTATTTCTTAAGTAGGCAATAACGAAACAAGAAGATGGACGATAACGATTTTGATCAAGTGCCTCAAATTTTATTCAATGGTGTTACATCCCTCAGTAAAATAGGCACTCCTGGAACTCTCATTCCAATGACATACGATACACGTGCTGTGCTATGTGGTGATGATTCTAATAATGTCATCATTGTTGCTACTCGATTCGGCAATGGTCGATGTTTGGTATTTGCACATAATGGTTATCCTGCTATTTTTCTTACTAATGACACAAAAGATCAGCGTTTTGTTGAAAACTGTCGTCAATGGTTGTCTCAAGGACAAGATGCACGATTCGAATCGATCAACGAGATAGACTCGATGGATGATGTCAAGGAACATGGAACAATTCTCGTTTGGAATGGACATAATACTAAAAGTGATACTTTCATGGATGATTTGGTAAATAACATTATGTTCTTTTTTTTTGGTCATAAGGAATATATTGAATATTATCATATTACTAGTGTGCATATTTACAAGCAGGTGGTGCTCTTGTTTGTGGAACAACTGCTTGGGGTTGGTTAAGCCGAAATAGTGGCAAATTTCTTTCAGATTTTCCATTTACTCGTTTTTGTGATTATATTGGTGTCAAAGTGACCGATAATTGTGCCCGTTGTCCTGATCCGATTCCGTTTCGACCTGAATTGGTCAAATTCAAAAATATTTATCATGCTGTTCAGGCATTAGTCGACGAACCGCATAATATCGAAAATTTAAATATTGTTGGATCGACAATCAAGGAACTAGGTGATACGTTGCCTGGTGTACCGGTTGAAACTCTAGAGAATATTGTTCTCAATGCTGGAAGTGATATTATTCCAGCGAGTAATTGTCCTATTCGAGATAAAGCATGTCGACAGCAATCGACCGGTCTCTGTGGTATTTTGTGTGCATTACCTGGTATCAAAGCTCCTGGTGAGTATGATCGAATTTAGCAAGAAACTATAATGTAATTGTATATCAATTTTAGGCGTAAAGAGTTTTCCTGGTGATTTTGATGATCCACCGTCTATTGAAACAAATGTCACGGTTCATATTCAATCGAAGGCCAACGAATGGTATTGCACAGGTATGCTTGAAAATGCTCAAATCCTGAAAGAATACAATGATTATAAAGTTCTTCGATGCTCGGAGATCTTGAAATGATATCAAGTTCGCTATCTTTCTCTTAGGATACTATGTAGCTGCGGGTATTCCCATACAAATCGACGTATTAGAGCACGGTGGTGCAACTGGATGGTCAGCCCGAATTGGTTGTCACAGTGATGATCTCAGAGTATGTACTCATATAAGAAAGTTCTTTATATCAGCATGTACACCTAATTAATTAGAATTCTAATGAATTACGTCGATGGTCATGTATTTCTATATGTAAACCGCTGTCTGGTACTAGTATCCGAATGAATTCAGCTTTTGGTGGTCTTCTCTTTCTTCAGAGTCCTAATGATGAATCGAATTCGATTAGTGTTAGCCTACAGCATGTTGTTCTATCACCTACTTACGATCTCATGGATTCGGATCGAACAGAACATTGGAAAGACCAACGTAGTAACGCACAAGGCCTATGGGCAGACATTGCTGGTCAATACATTGTTTTCAATCTTCCTTCGCAAAGCGTACTCCATTTGGATAGTGCTCAACTAGATCGAGCTCTTCGTTTCTGGGATAGCATAATAATGGCTCATCATGAATTACGAGGTACTACACCAGTACGTCGAGAACGCATCGTATGCGACGAACAACCATCGGCTGGCTATATGCGTAGGAATAACTTGATTCTGACATGAGTTTTATGATTGCCGAAAAGAATTAATTCATTTTAGATAGTGGCTATCCGATTGTCACTCGTATGGATGTATCTGATCCAAATGCTGAAAACTTCTTATTGAATAGTGATATACTAGAAAAGAAAGGCTCTTGGGGTCTTTTTCATGAGATCGGTCATAACATGCAGCGTGGTTGGTGGAGTGAGTATTAGATGTGTACATTTAGATGTTGTGGAAAAAAAAGACTTTGTTTAGCTTTCGATGGTACTGGTGAAGTAACAGTGAATATCTTCTCTTTACATGCGATGGATGTTGTTTGTCATCTTCAACCATGGATTCATTCTTGGCTTCAGGATCAAATGAAGATGACGCGCGAGTATATACAGAAAGGGTCACGTTTCGATCAATGGAAAACAAATCCTGGCATTGCTCTCTTTATCTACGCACAACTAGCACGAGAGTTTGGTTGGAATAGCTACAAGGCTGTCTTTCGTCAATATGAACAAACTAAACCGAATCTGACTAGTAATCAAGACAAGATAGATCATTGGATCAAAACCTTCTCGCATCAAGTAGGCTATAATTTAGTTCCATTGTTCAATTTCTGGGATTTTCCCGTTTCACAATCAACTATCGATGGCCTTCGCGACCTGCCAATTCGACAAATCTCTGATGAATTGATTGAAATAGCACCAGAACGCTATAAAATCTAAGGCGTCTTCTGTTGGATACAATCAATCTATCTTAAAAGATAATTAGTTGAACTAATGTAATACATTTATTATTTAACAATAAAATTGACAGCATTTTAGTTTTAGTACCAATCAATGATTTATTGTTGTAGTTCTCTCTAATGCTGCTTTTTTCTATGCTAAAAGAAACGGTAAAGATTGGAACAAAACATATGAACTAAAGTTGAAGTATATTCTGATGAGTTTGTAGATAGTGGTACGTAATATTCTTTTCGGTTTTCTACTGAATGCGGTGTTTCACAGTGTTAGATGAATGCGAAAAACTATAATTGATTATAAGATGTAATTTGGTACTTCTGTATTTGAGCTTGAACTTGAGTCAAGACTCAATTCAGTACGTATTATTCTAGTGTACTTTTAGTATTCTCGGCAAACATCTTCAGATATCGAGAATGTTTTTTAGACAGCTATACGCTATCTTTGTTTGAGAGCCTCTCCTTGAGAAAACCGACTAATAAAAAACAAAGGATGTTGAATTTTTATATTTCGATTCCAGTAATCTCGGAAGAAAGATTTGATGAAAAAAGTAACATGCTAAACTTTGACAATTGGTATTATCAGAAAGTATTTTGGGAAACTCAGAAGTAGTCATAAGATTCTGAACACTGTAAAAATCCAGAAGAGACACTGAAAAGCGAGAGGCGGTTTAATAAATGGGTGTGGGGTGTGGGTATGGACAAGGGGAGAAAAGTGGATCCACCAGGATCAACCAAGATCCACTAGGATCTACCAGGATCCATCAGAACTCATTATGATTCATCAATACAAATTAGTGTTCTGAATTTTTCACAAAAGCGAGAAGATCAAAAAGATTCATAAAAAAAGGTACGTATAATTCAAAATATGTAGTAAATAAATTAATGTGATTATCACATGTTATTCATCCAACCTTGACTACTCTATTTTACAAAGAGAACAACAGATCCTGATGCTTGTCCTACCCGCTATTGGAATCGCTTCTATGAGGAGTGCTCTCCTGACAGATGCCCCCCGTGACTGTTGCTCCTAACACTCACATTAAGCCACATCCGTATCCTCACATACAACCAACCATATTCACTCTCTACTCACATCCACATCATTACCCTCATCGATACTGACATCAATATTCTGAACTGTCCAGGGAGCCAGTGTCGTCAGGAGAAAGTATCTCTAGAGCAACTGTCGTGGGAACATATGTCAGTAGAGCAATAGTCGTCTTACCATTGAAATCCATGCAGTTCCATTAGAACCCTTGAAAACTAAGTGAACAGATGGGAAATCGTCTCTAGAATTTCCGTCAAAAAAAGAAAGAAGAAACCTTGAAGACTGAGATTCTGGTGGGTGGCGATTAATTCTGATGTATCTTGGTGAATTTTGCAGTTTATATGATCGAATAGAATTCATAAGTATTCAGATTTTCTATATTGGTCTGAAATTACTATGAAGCTTTTAGGCTTCCGCTGAAAAACTTATGAACTTCAATAAATTGCAATAGATAATATTGAATTTTTTCTAGAGAAAAGCTTGGATGTTTTTGAACTAGAGGGTGTGGATGTAGGTGTGTGGCTGCATTTGAATAAGATATCCATACCCGCACGCCAACCGTGTCTTTTGTAGGTATTGTTTTTATAAGATATGTAAACGTTGTCCCACATGTTCTTTCGCGTACCACATATGTGATTCCATAACATTGATCTCTCGTCTCTTGATAAAAGACTCATACCAGAATATTCTGTTATCAGCACTTGTATTGCAGTAAGAAAACTTTAGCAAAATAAATACTTAGGGAATACCAAGAGTTCTGACCACGGTATTTTAAATTTTATAAAACATTTAGCATCGAAGGTTTTATTGCATGGATATATAGTAAAATGCCTCGCCTATAATAATGCATATAACAACTCTATTTTGAATTTAATTCTAGCATTCTTTTAGACAAAGTCTATAATACTTAGGACTAAGCGAAAATTCTAATAACATCGAATAAAAATATAAAAAGAAAGAGAGGGTGTGGCTGTGGATGTGAGTAGGTCAAGCGAAGACTCAAACCCACACCCACCCACACCCTCTGGCTAGTCCTGTCCTGCTGCTCAGCTCTGGTAGTGATTATGAAAAGTGTTACGTATGCATCGAAAAAAAAACCGTCGACATTAAATTAGGTTAACTTGACCGAATTAATTCTTCAACATTTTGAACTCAAAAATTTTCCTGAGGAAGTGAAGCTACTTTTTGCGTCCTTCTGAATCTCTACTTTACATGTAATACATACATCGATAGAGCAGCAGCAGTACGCATATAAAAACTGAGAATTTTTTCTAAGGTTCTACATTTTTTTAGATTTCACAGAGAGTTGTTGATCCAATATGATTCTTATATGTTGTTTTCAATACTTCCAAATCTTCATCTTAGGGTAGGTGTGGGGATGTGGATCTCCTATTTGCTAACACTCACATCCATAGAATCGGTTTGGTGCAACATAAAACTTTAATCATCATAGGTAATCTGGTATGTGTCCACTGTATAGAAGAATAATGTATAATGATATATTATAAGTCATTAGGATTGGAAATGTTTTAATCGATTTTGTTTGACACGAGTAAGTGACTGTTACTGTTCTACCAAATAAGAATTGATTCATCATTGAATGTGTTTGATCGTTATCTTGCTTGATATGAGACTATGAAGAGATTGATATTATTTCAGGGCTTCCAGAATATATCTAATTTTTCACAAAACGACTAGATTTTCACAGACTTATCAGACAAAACTTCGACCCTACCTACCATCATGTTTTCAGAGATATTTTCGTTGCTTTTAAAAGTTTTACTATTTTGAAAAAATTGCGTTGTCACTTACATCAGCATTGAATAAAACATTTTTATAGTAACCAACATGACAGATGCCGTTAGCTATCTTCATCTATTTTACGTGCTTTAAAATGGTCCACTGAAATGTATTAAAAATGTATATCATTGTAATATGATTTTTTCTGAAGTTGAATGGAAAAATCCATTTCCAAAACTTCTTAAGCATTTTTCTCAAAACATGGTTTCCATGCAGGAAAACTGAAATAACTTCCACTCGGCCAGAGTATAACCGATACTTGTTTTTTTGTTTCAAAGGTCTGAATGAGAGCTAACTTTTCATCGGATGGATTTTTGATACTTGATTCTTGGACTGAGAAAAGTGGGATTTACTGTCGAGGGGTTACCTTTTTTTTCATGCTTACTTTGAACATCATGTCCACTAAAATGGTCATAAAAAATGAATGGAAGGAAATTTCAAAATTCTATCCGATGAAGAGTTGCGCACAGAGGCTAGCAGCTTTAATTTGAAATCAGCTCGAGCTTTGTACCTCTTATAAGGATAAAGTTATTTCGATTCTCCTGGAAGCTATAAAAACAAGTCGGAAGTTTGGTCTAGTAAGATATATCAGGCTGAAATTTTTATCGCAAGTGTTTCTCACTAAGACCATACATTCCTCTAAGTTTCAGCCCAAACGGACCGTTCTAAATGGTAAATCGATCCTGAGAGAATCTTTAAGAGATAGACATAATACCTTTTATCTTAAGAATTCTAAGAATAATTTATTATTATAATTTTAAACTATTGTAAAAGATATATAAATCCATCAGGAAAAAAGAGAATTATAAGCACGTCATTTGATTGGTTCTTATTCGATCAATGAATATAGAAACAGCTTTTAATAGAAATAAACACACGTGATTATGCTTTATTATTATTGAAAAGAAATTTTAAGTTTTTATTAACTTGAATGAAACTGTTTATCTTTAATATACGAATATAGTAATGAAAAAGACAAAGTAGACTTATTTTTATTTTTCATTATATGTATATAATTATCTAGATATGTTCTAATCTAATAAAATCTATGTACTATAGTTTCCTTGACTAATGAAAAACTTAATGAATAATATTCTATCAAATTGAAGTATGTTTTAAAAAAAAATATTTCTTTTTTTCTTCTTCTCGTGACGATACTTATTGTCGTCTTTTCTTTCTTTTGTTATAATCTTATCTTTAGATAATTTGGAAGGTCACCAACAGTCGTTTTTTTTTCGCGAGTGTTGCCTTTAATAAGAACAACTACTGGTTATTAGTTCAATCGTTATATTAGAAATAGAAAATATAATAACAATCATGGATAATCGATTGATGAATGTTATATTACTTGGTTCAGCATTTATGGTTTTATTTACTGCATTTCAAGCTACTGGCATGATATCAGTATTAATATTATTTTCAAAAAATTTATCATAACTAAATTGTTAATATTCTTTCTAGCAAAGTGTATTGGAAGGAGTCAAAAATGACACAACTCATGGCAATAGATTTCATGGAAGTGGTTATACCAGGTGAGAACAAAAAAAAAACAAATTTTAAGTCATTTGCTTTTTTTCGTTATTAAAATAAGACATACAATAAAATTCAGCATAAAGAATTTTATTTCAATGTATTCATTAAGTTTAAATAACTATAAAGTGAATATTCTGAATAACTATCTAATTCTTTAATAAGAATATTTGAAATATGTTAATAATGATTCTATTTACAACAATAATACTCTTTAGTCTTAACAGTATAATATATTACTGGAAAATTCTGATGTTTTGAAAACTTTGATAGACATGATAAAACAAAAGACAAATCTTGTTTTGATATATATTAATTTTTACGATGAATTCCATTGTACATTGAAACGAAACTTTGTAATTGAGCATCACAATCAGAATAGACAGAAAAAATTGTTCCAAAATGATACTTTATAATCTTGTATTGAACTCACGTACCGAAGTGAAGCAGTCATGTTTTTTTTTCTCCAGTGTCATATGTATGAAAATATCTGATGTCATTCGAATTAAAAATACAGTTGTGACGATATTCGATCGATTGATCTGCTAAGAAAAATATGAATCAGCTTGTGTAGGCATGTGCGAATTCGTCAAAATGCATGGTAA